CAAAAGGAGTGGCACCACATCTACGTTCATACAATACAGACAAGAAAATTAAGTTACATAGAATGCACAAACAGTATTTGAAAGGTAGACTTCCTTTAAAAATATTGTATTTCGGTAAACGGGTGAAGGTGAAAAAAGACGGTTATGTTATTGTGTTTTAAGATAATACAAGTCGTCAAAAATACTGTATGATTAAAGTCATACCGAATTGGGGTGCAACGTTAATTATTTTTGTTTTTTTACACACAACAAAGGTAAACTTTTTAACAATAACAATTACAATATCATCCATAATCAATTGGGTTATAAATCAACAAAAATTATAACTCGATATTTAAACTATAATTTTTTCTGCTTGTTATTACAAAAAGCACCAAAAATCCAGAATTTTAATTGTCATACAAAACAATAAAATAGTGTTGATTGTGGTGATGCAGATGTTAACCATTACGTGTAAAAAACGAAAATAATAAGACAAACCAACTTGTGTGATTTATTGAACTATGCTTCAAATTTTAGGTGAACAGGTGACAGTTCGATGGTGCAACCTAAAAACGAATCAATAAGAAATGTGCAACTTTGGTTAAAGTTATGTAATATTTATAAGAATGAAATAAAAACAAAAACACAAAAATTAATTAAGTTGAAACACCAAAACACTTTTTGGGGTAAAATATATATTATCGATTAATTCGTCCTGTTGTGCAGTGTAGGAACCCATTTCACAATAGCTTCCATCAACACCCTTTTTGAACACGCACATGTCAAAACCGACTCCAAATGCAAAGAGTGCTGGATGATCTTGTGGCCACAGATATAACTCGTAACCCAAATTTTTGCCACTTTTTGTAAATTTTTTGGGATTCAACACTCCGTTTCTACACAAGGAAAATAAATAAGAATTTCCACAATACAAATAATTTCCAATTTCATTGATTGTGCCTGTATACACACCACCAAACTTGTTGTGATTTATGTCTTCTATCAAAAAGCACAAGTTTTTATTGTAAGCGATTTTTTCTGTGAATGTAGATTCATGTTCAGACCATTTATCCATATCTGAGTCAAATATAACACTCCCAAGTTTCATTTTTGTTATATTTTCAAGACCCACTTTCTCTTTGTGTGTGATGCATCTTCTTTTGAATTGCCTTGCATATTCTTTCTGTTCTTTTTCATATTCTTCATGTTGCAATTTAATGTATTTGAATTTAATTGAGTTTTTTATCTCTCCGATTCTCATGTTTTTTGTTTGAAGCATTGTTGTAATATCGGTTTTGTGTTGTTTTAAATCACTCTTAAATTGTTCTTCAATAAGTCCCATTCTAATAATATACATCTCATACAACTTTTCATTGTCTTTCTGTGTTGAATATTTGGTCAACTCGTGTTTAATTGTGTAAAATGCATCATCCAAATTGTCAAGTATTGTGTTAACTGTTGTTGTGATACTTTTCTTTCTTTCAACTATATCATCGATTTTGTCAAAATAAGTTTCGGCATTTTCAATCCGTTTATTGATATCCTATGATTTGTTATCAACAAACTCTGGTTCTGTATTTAACAAATGATAATATGAAACTTCTCTTGCTGCGTTTGCGCAAAGTGTTGAAAGTGCTCTCAACTCCTTTTCCATGTGTTATTTTGTTGTTAAATTTAAATTTATTTTAATTAATGAAATTTAATTAATTTGAAAAAAAAACAAAGTCAACACTAATAATTTCACATAAATACCTAAAATTGGTTTATTTGTTTAAATGTTTGGTTTGATCATTGTAAATCAATTTAATTATCATTTGTAAATTGAACTCAATTATTAAAATATTAAAAACGAATGCAAATTTATATTTATATTTTTCATAAAATACAATTATATCATTAAATAAGACATATTCAAAACAATTATCGTCATATTAATATATTTTAACAACATTAAAAATATATTCCTTAAATTATATATATTCAAAATACAGTGTCTTTGCATTGTTTTGGAAACCTTGAATTTATATCAAATTAGTTAATGAATCAAAATTTACATTAAAATTTAACTTTAATTTTAAACAACAATGAATGAAATAATTTTTATTAAAGATTTAATAACAAATATATACATAAAATAGAAGCGTGTGGAAAAAAATATTTGGAATATTAATTATTGGAATATTATTATACAGATTATTGTATCACCCAATCAAATAATAGAGATGTTGTATTATTGAAGTTTGATTGAATAATCATTAAAATAATATTTTATTAAGAAACTACACTATAAAAATATAATATAAATGGTGAAATTAATAATGAATCTTACACAAATTAAATAATAATATATTTTAATTATTGGATATGACAATTACACTTAGTGTAACAAGTAAAAAACAACATTTAAACAAACAATTTAATACCAATATATACAAATGACCGAACAAACACAAAGTGTTCCAATTGGCGTTTTTGATATTAGGTCATATAAAACAAAAATTGGACTTGCCAATGAAAAGGTACCTTCAAAGATATTCAAAACGGCTGTGGGACGTTATAATTAAATACGAAATTGTATAGGTGGTTTGGGAGAAAAAGAATATTACATTGGTGAAGAAATTAACAAACACCTCGCACAGTTAAAATTATCCAATCCAGTTGAACGTGGTTTTATTAATACTGAAAATTATGATTTTGAAAGAATGATTAATTATTGTTGTTATGACTGTTTAAAACGGTGAACGGACAAAATAATCTGGCAAAAAATAATCCGACATTTTATAATTTTACTTTTAATAATTTTCAATTAAAAATGCAACAAATTTCAACATTATTTCAAGTCTTTTTTGTTATTTAAAAATAAAGATAAAAACATATTTTTTATTTTTTAAATTGTCTATTTTTATAAAAATTGCATAAAATAATATAAAATATCATAAGTCAGTTATTGATTGTTTTCTTTTTTTACCGTCTCCAACAAATCGTCTTTTTGAGAGAGGAACATAATCACTTTTTCTTTATATTCTTCCTTTTTTCTTTGTTATTTTGTCTTTGGGTATATCAATCCGCGTATCAACTGGAGTGGCAATTGTTGTGTCTGCAATTTTGTCTTGTTTTTGTTGTATTTGACACGTTTTATTTTCTGCGTCTTTATCTTTTAATGTTTTAATTTTCAAACTGTCTGTCACTTCTCCAATAAAACTTTCATTCACATTGCAAAGATGTAAATTTGTAACATTTAAATCTGTCTCTATTTCATTACTTTCATTCATTTCATATAATTTGTTCCAACGATAATCTTCTACAACTTCGACCAAATTGTTTTGGAAATCATTTTCCATTTCATTACCACTATAATAATTTAAAGTCAAATAAAACAATTTCGTCGGTCTTCTACTGTAATGGTTTTGGCCCTTGCTCATTTGTTGAAGTTTTTTGAGTTGCATTTTTTTCGAAATTCATGATATTCAATATGAGAGCCTGTAAAGATGGCTTCTTTGTTGACAACCTTTTTGTTAACGCCGAGTGGTAACTTTCAGATAAGTTGTCGGTTCTTATTTGTTGATTGAATTGATTCCACAGTAAAATTGGATATTTCTCAATCCAATTTTTTTTCAAAATAATTAATAATTTCTCGAATTCCATTTGTTTGTTTTTCTTCTATTACAATATCCAATGCTGTTTGTTTTATTTTAATGAACCGTTCCTTGACTTCGCTTGGTTTATAAAAGGCCAACGTTTTCAATTTGTTGACAATTGTCCAAATTATGGAATTTGGAAAATAATAATTTGACAATCCACTTTTTTGTACATATCTCCATAAACACTGCGAAAAATGGAAATAACACCCATGTACAAAACATTCAAAATAATTTAAAGCGTTAATTACTGCATTCTCAAAGTCGATCATAACACTAACATTTTTGGAAAATAAAGGTTTTTCCCAAACGGAAAGAAAAAAGTATTTATTATTTCAAACAAATTAATATAATCTTTTTCTCTTCTTCTGTACATAAGACAATGAACCAAAATAAAACATTGACCATTTGATAATATACAATGAATAGTGTACAATTGTTCATAATTGGATGGCACGAACTAAATGTCCCGTCCATCAATACATAAGATACTGTTTTGGATTTCATTTGTTTAATCTTAAATGCATTTATTAAAATGAAAAAGTCATCGTCATCTTTAACATAAAAATTTTCACTTTCGAATAATTCATCAAACTTTTCTTTGATTAATTCCACTTTTAGTCTGTTGATCGTACGTCTTATCGTTGTTTGTCGTTGTTTGTCATTTATAAACAACTCTTCATTAAGATCCATTATTTTGGTAGCTGAAAGTAATAAATTGGAATTTTTTGAAAAGACGGTGCGGAGTGTTTTGTTGGTATCTACTTTGTCTTTTGGATAATGTGGATGTTTTGTTTTTTCTGTATCTACATAAGAATAATCAACAAAATGTATTTGACCATAATCGTCAGGATCACTTTTAACAACTTTAATCTTTACATCACAATCTTGACATTTATAAATACTTTCATTCTTCTTTCCACTTTGAGAATGATAAATGTAACCTTGAACAACTGGCAATAAGTTGTAGGTTCCATCTTTGCATCTTTTTTGGCTTTTAATCTCTTTTAAATCTGGATTAAATGACATACACAGTTTTATTATTGTTTGTTTAAATAAATATATTATGATTAAAAAACTCTTTTTATTTTTATTCGAAAAATCAATTGGTTATTTACATAAAATAAGACGAAAGGATTAAAATATGATAGACACCAATAATAATATGTATTTATATGTATTTATATGTATATATTTGTATTAAATATTATAAATTTAATTTTATTGATTATTTTTAATGTTGTCCAAGTTACACAATACATTAAAATTATGATTTTTATAAAATGTATCGAAACATAAAATGACCAATTAACATTAAAATACTTCTGCAGTAAACAAAAATATATTAGCCTGACTATTATTATATCTTTTATACTATTTATGTGGTATATTATAAATACAAAGCAACTAATTTTATATAAAAATAAAAATAGATTAGTAAAAGTATTTTACATTGATTTGTATTATATAAATAATAGTTTACAAACACACAATGTTATATATACAGTTAATAGAATAAAAATTATGTTTTTATTTTTATTTTTAAATAACAAAAAATGACTTGAAATAATGTTGAAATTTGTTGCATTTTTAATTGAAAATTATTAAAAGTAAAATTATAAAATGTCGGATTATTTTTTGCCAGATTATTTTGTCACCCAATCGTTTAAAACTTGAACCCGAAAATTTACCAATTTTGTTGACAGAATCGGTTAATAACACAACACAATCAAGACAGAGGATATGTCAACTCTCTTTTGAAACGTTTAATTTTTCACATTTTTGTCTAATTTCGCAACCAGTCTTATCTTTTTTGTCGACTGGAAAGAGCACTGGTTTTTGTGTTGAATCTGGTCATGGAGTTACTCAATTTGTGCCTGTTTATGAAGGTTCAAAGGTGCAAGTTGGTGTGTATCGTTTAGAACTTGCTGGACAAGATGTAAACGACTCACTTGAGAAATTTGCAAACGCAAAAGGATTCACCTTCAAAGATTACTTAGAAAAGGAAACTTTGGCTGATTTGAAAGAAAAACTTTGTCATGTTGCTCAGAACTATGAAGAAGAAAAGAAAAAAGACGCAAACGAACTGGAAAAAACTTTCAAACTTCCAGATGGAAAAGAAATCAAACTTGGTGCCGAGAGATTTGAATGTACTGAACAATTGTTTGAACCAGAAACATGTGGAAAGGAAATAGATGGTATTATTGATCGAGCTTATGATAGGCTCATGCACGTTGATCCAGATGTGAGAAATGAATTATATGGTAATATTGTGTTAGCTGGCGGAAACACAATGATGCCTGGCTTTGTGGAGAGATTTAAAACCCAATTTACTAAATTGGCACCTGTATCTGCAAAAGATTGGATTTTACTGCACCAGAAAATAGAGATCTTGCTGCTTGGAGAGGAGGCGCCATATTTGCTAGTTTGTCAACTTTTGAATCAGCTTGTGTGTCAAAAGATGGTTATAATGAATGTGGTCCAAGTATCATTAACAGAGTTTGCCCTTAAACTCACTCTCATTTTTAATATTTTGGTGTTACATTCAAACATTTAACCTAAAAATTATTGAAAAACTATAAAAAAGTGTATAAAAATAAGTTATATAAATTGAATTATATATATGATTCATTAATTTGTCAAAGTATTAATGGTGAACAATATTTTATTTATTTGTTTTATTTTACTTTACACATAAAAGGTATACAAGATACGTTTTGGGAAATAATGTTTAAAAATAACAAAACTATTCCAACTTTGGTTTAACTTAAAAATAAATAAAATTATTACAGTAGGGGGAGTGAGGGGCTTGACCTATCATTTTATCATCTTTTTTACTATACAGAGTTTTCCCGGTTCTATTTATAAAATAACAAATACTATAAATAATTTATAAAAAATGTCAAAGAAAAAGATTCTTAGCTTATCCAAAATAAAATAAAACGTTTTTTGAAAGAAAAAGTAAACAACCTTAGTGTTATGAAGAAAATTGAATGGCTTATTTCTATTGTTTGAAATAACCAAGAATTAATTCACAAAGCTTCAATTATTTTGTTTCTATAACAGCACAAATACAACTTCTTTGTACATAGACAGGATTTCCTTTAGCCATAATAGACAAGTTGTTCCTCTCACAAGCCAACTCGTCTCACCATTTGGCTTGTGTATTCGGTGTTGTTAAAATACTAGCTTACTGAATACTCTGACAATTGAAATCAATTGAAGCCAATTTTGCAGTAACCGAAGACTTGAATTGATTTTTGGATGAGAGAACATAGTGATAGTGATGGCAGATCATGACAAGTTCTAAGAGAACAAGGAGAGCTGAGAGAGCATATTTGTGTTTCCATTGCTCGTCATACCAAAAAGGTGTTGGGAGCATTAGAGAGCAAAGCAAAAACATCATTATTGCATCATATAAGCGTTCTGGTTTTGTTGGAGTCAATATTGACAAGATTAAAAGAATGTTCTTTTCTATAAAAAAGGCTTCCAGATTGTTACTGTAAGCCAATGGTGTTTATACCAGAGAACACTTGTAATTGTTTGTTCTTCCGCCTATCCCAACATATTTGGTCAAATCCGAAGAGGAAAGTTTGCCTTTGAATATCCAATAATTGCCAACAACGAGAGCCATATCAAACATAGAGACTAACGCCTACCAATGATTTTATTGAGAACTAACAACTAACAAACACCCAAGTCGTTTTTAATACAATTTCAAGTTCTGACTTTATGCTAAGGATGAACCAATACTTTTATGGTTTATAAACTATAACTTATAAGTCAAGGTTGTGTTTTTAAATAGAACATTAAAAATAGTTTTTATTTAAATATAGTAAATAAACCATTAAAAGTATAGGTCAAGCCCCATAGTATCGTCAAGCCCCTCACTCCTCCTATTGTAATTTCAACTCTTTATAAATAGGGAAATTGGTTTGATTTGTTTGATTTGTTTTTCGGAACTAAGTCAACTTTGCTCAAATTTATTGTTGTTAAATAGGAAAACAGATTTTATTAAAATTTTTCATAAAATAATAATCTACACATCAACCATTTCTTTGATAAATAACAATGATAAAACACACAACATTCAAATTATGTATTAAAAGTGTCGTAAACACGTTTTTATTTTCAACAAAACTCACTCTTGATATCCAAAAATGTGTTTATTAAAGTTGACTGTATTAATTTTTAAAACTAAAACATGATTATAATTATAATTTACAATCAATAAAACTATTCATTTTTTGTTTTTTGTTTCCAAAAATCTTTAAATTTACAATAATGTAGTGCATTTACCTATCATTCATTCATTCATTTAATTTATTAAATATATAATCAAAAAGTCGGTTACAACTATTTAAAATAACATTTTTTTCATAATAAACAGTATATTTTATTTTAACAAGGACTCGTTTTTAAACTTTTTAAAACATAAAGGGGTGGAAAAAAACCGCTTCAGGAAAAAAACCGCTTTTGATAATTTAATGGTTAAATGATAATATTATTATAGTTTTTTGTATAGTTTATTTTTTTCCTTTTCTTCGATTTGATTCAAAAAAACAAGGTTTACAAGAGTCTCTTTGACTTTTTCAAGATGCCAATGTTTGTTATTGAAATTTGTGAATTATTTTTTATGTAAAGTAAAGGCTGGATTTGCCGAATGATAAAAGGAGGAGCAAGAAAGATTGACTTCGAAACTGTTCTTTGAGGTCAAAATAACCAAAAAAACATCTTAATATTAATATAATTAAGTGAAAAAAAATAAACTTTTTATTAAATATTTTTTCAATTTTTTGC